TTACTTTTCAAGTCCAACAGCATATAATGATGTAGCCAATGATCCACCATAGATTCCTCATAGGGCGGTGATTGATTTTTATTCTGCCTGGCAGGAATAGGCGGTGAAGGTGGGTAGTCCAGCAGCCGCCAGAAGGTTCGATGAGATACCAGCAAAATCCGGATGCTAAGAAAGGTATATAGACCAGTCGGAGTGAGGGAAAAGAAAGAAAGAAGGCACTCTCTGACACATTTTACGTTATCCATTATACCCCAAACTTGAAAATCCCTTAGTTCGGCGCCTAAAGAACAGCCAGACCGCTTGACAACTTGGTCATCGCCCCTCCAATAATAGTGGAGTGGCGTGCAAATTCTCCCCTCTGTCTTCTCTCACTTTTCTTCCTTTGAATCTTCCATCTCCCTCTACCTCCCTACCTCCTATATTCCCCCCCACCTACTTTCTTCCATAATGAGTGTCGTCGGCATAGATTTGGGTGCGCAAAGCACCAAAATTGGTGTTGCCCGTAATAAGGGCATTGACATTGTGCGTATTACCCCACGGTATTGATTATTGATTCAGATTTGCAATGTTCTATCAGGATGAATCTCAGGATGAATCATGACCGCACCAATCAGAACAATTGCGCTAACTACTTGTTCACATTATAGATTACCAATGAGGTTTCTAACCGTCAGACCCCGTACGTCCCAAGAACCCCCCGCTGTTTGACGATAACAATACTGATTTCAACTGTTTTAGCTCCGTTGTTGGATTCACACCCCGCAGCCGTAACCTCGGTGAGGCCGCTAAAGGTGGAGAGATCTCAAACTTGAAGAACACCGTCGGCTCCCTCAAGCGCCTGATCGGCCGTTCTTTCAACGACCCCGATGTCGCCATCGAGCAGGAATACAACACATGCGCCCTGGTTGACGTCAACGGCCAGGCTGGTGTCGAGGTCAACTACCTCGGCAAGAAGGAGAAGTTCACAGCGACTCAGTTGGTCGCTTCCTATCTTGGAAAGATCAAGGACATCACCTCGAAGGAATTGCGCGCTCCCGTCTCCGATGTTACCGTCAGCGTTCCTGCTTGGTTCACTGATGTTCAGCGCCGTGCTATGATTGACGCTGGTGACATTGCCGGTCTCAACATCCTGCGTCTCATCAACGACACCACCGCTACCGCTCTCGGCTGGGGTATCACCAAGTTGGATCTCCCCGCCCCCGAGGAGAAGCCCCGCCGTGTGATGTTCGTCGACATTGGTTACTCCGACTACACCGCGTCCATTGTTGAGTTCCGCAAGGGTGAGCTCAACGTTAAGGCTACCGCCTACGATCGTCACTTCGGTGGCCGTAACTTTGACAAGGCTCTGACCGAGCACCTCGCCGTCGAGTTCAAGGAGAAGTTTAAGATTGACATTCACACTAACGGCAAGGCCTGGACCCGTACCTTGGTTGCTGCCGAGAAGCTCAAGAAGGTCCTGTCCGCTAACGCCCAGGCACCTCTGAGCGTCGAGTCCCTTATGGATGATACTGACGTCCGCGCTATGCTCAAGCGTGAGGAGCTCGAGCTTATGGTCAAGCCCCTCCTTGACCGCCTGACCGCTCCTCTGGAACAGGCACTCGCCGAAGCCAAGCTTCAGGTTGAGGACATTGACTATATCGAGATGGTTGGTGGCTGCACCCGTGTTCCCGCTATTAAGGACACCGTCTCCAAGTTCTTCGGCAAGGGTCTGTCCTTCACTCTGAACCAGGATGAGGCCATTGCCCGCGGTTGTGCTTTCAGCTGTGCTACCCTCTCCCCCGTTTTCCGTGTCCGCGACTTCGCCGTTCACGACATTGTCAACTACCCCATTGACTTCACCTGGGAGCAGTCCCCCGAGATCCCCGATGAGGACACTAGCCTCACTGTCTTCAGCCGTGGCAACGTCATGCCTTCTACCAAGATTCTCACCTTCTACCGCAAGCAGCCCTTCGATCTCGAGGCCCGATACTCCGACGCCGAGGCTATGCCCGGCAAAGTCAACCCTTGGATTGGCCGCTTCTCCGTCAAGGGTGTCCAGGCTGACGCAAACAACGACTTCATGATTTGCAAGCTCAAGGCCCGCCTCAACCTGCACGGTATTCTCAACGTCGAGTCTGGATACTACGTCGAGGATATGGAGGTCGAGGAGCCCGTCGAGGAGGAGAAGAAGGAGGGTGACATGGACACCGACTCCAAGGAGGAGCAGCCCAAGAAGACCCGCAAGGTTAAGAAGCAGGTTCGCAAGGGTGATCTCCCCATTGCCTCCGCCACTGGTGGCTTCGACCAGGCCACCAAGGAGGCCTGGACCGAGCGTGAGAACGCTATGTACATGGAGGACAAGCTCGTCGCCGAGACCGACGAGAAGAAGAACGAGCTCGAGGCCTCCATCTACGAGCTCCGTGACAAGATCGACGGCGTTTACGCCGAGTTCGCCAGCGAGGAGGAGAAGGAGAAGTTGAAGTCCAAGCTTATGGACACCGAGGTGAGTTTCGAGCCAGTATTTGTAAATCATTATTATAGACCAACCATACTAACGCATCATCGCAGGACTGGCTCTACGAAGACGGTGAGGACACCATCAAGTCCGTCTACGTCGCCAAGATGGACGACATCCGCTTCATTGCCGGCCCCATTATCCAGCGCTATAAGGAGAAGGTTGAGGCCGAGCGTGACGCCGTCCGCAAGGCCGACGAGGAGGCCGCCGCCAAGCGTCGCGCTGAGATCGAGGCCAAGAAGGCCGAAGAGAACGCCAAGAAGCCCGCCGAGGGTGATGCCGAGATGAAGGATGCCCCCGCCGAAGGCGAGGCCCAGGCTGAGACTGAGGAGAAGCAGTAAATGCATTCCCGTTATATTGGAAAAATTTACTGATGTGTTTACTTTTTTGAGTTGGGCATGCGAGCCCCAATTTCAAAACTGCGGTTTATTCTGATCCATCATGGTTTGGGGTGAGTCGCTGCGTTATGACGAAAAGGACCTTTTTAAGAGATGTTTCATGGAGCTAGAGATTTCCATCGGCTTTAATCGTTGACCACTTTTTTTTCTTGTTCTAATGGCAAACGGTTATGGTGTAGATCGTTTCTGTTCCTTTGGATGTTTATGAATAGATGAAAATATACTCACTGCCTTTGTCTTCAATTCTTGAGATCCATAGAAAAGTATCAGCATGACTTGGTCTCGCTGCCAAGTATCATCCTAGACCTTAATGCCTAATGCCCAACACACTAACCATAGGCCAGTGAAAGAGAAAATCACCTGCCCTTTCTTACATAACTAGCGCCGCGCTAGTGTTCGGCACTCCAGTTTATAAAGTTCCAACGCTGCCCCACCACCGGCGTTTTCCGTCTCTGATTGGTCGCTGGTGACCTTTGTTCCTGACCATGGAACTATCTCATCTATGTTGTACAACATAATTGACCAGTCTGAGGGTTCGAAAACGAGGCAGATCGATGTAAAAATACAACCGACCCCACATTAATAGATGACACGCCTTTGCTAGTTCCAGGATTCCTGCCGAGATTCCATATCAGACCCATTTGCGCTGGATAACTGGATGGCCCGTTTTCTGACCGGGCACTCTTCTCTCCGTGGATACGTAGTTCTCTATGTCGATATAGAGTAGAATGAATTTCCCCTAAAACCTTCTCCTGCTAAAAGTGTCTTCCTATTGCGCCTGGGACGTTGTGATATTAGCTGAAACATTTCCGGAGCACCAAATAATATAATGACAGGCGTTGGTACATGATGCTATGTTCGCTTTGTTGAAATACTTGGCCGCAGTTGCTTCGATACCACTGCATAACGCCGTTTTGCTTGATAAACCGTTCCTAGTATGGACGCTCTGTATCTCATCCTCCTGGCCGCATAGACACGATGTATATAGTCCCAAATGCATGTTGACGATTGTGTTCCCTCAGGTTAAATATGGATCGGGACTGGCGTCGTGCAGGCCTGTGATTAGCGGTTATTATCTCCTAGAAGTTGACTAGAGTAATCTATAGGAGGCGTCGCCCGTAGGAGAGTGATCAGACTCCGGGCTGTCAATATCCAGCTCCACTTATCTACGTGCTGACAAAACTTACTTGAATAAGTAGAATCCGGGAAGGTTTGATGGTAAGTACGTTGAGGATCTGTAATGTGAACGTCCCAACATGTTAAAGGGCATGATGGAGTTTGCTTCCAGATAATAGAAGCATGGAATTAGGTTGGATTTGAGAAAGAGAGGGGAACAATGACAAACCAAGGTTTAGCAATCATAGACGGTAACTATCATATGGGAGGAGATGAGGCAGAGACCGATGACCAATGTGGTACTTGTGTGCTTGTCTCTAGTGAAATCGTAGAAACAGCCCTATCACAACTCTATGCTCCAATTGGACGGCTTACCTACGGGCGACCAAATATGCCATCCGAACATAACTCTCTCGTTGGTTATTACGTCACCGCCTGGTTCATTACTGTTTTATTTGTATACTATACACTTACAGATTCAATTCAGATTCAGTTCAGATTCAGTTAGTAAGATAGTAAGATAGTAAGAAATCAAGAGTCAAGACTTAAGATTTAGGAGTATAAAGAGCCCGGTGTTAAAAAATTAATATCGTATTTTAATAATTCTTCCTCTGCTTTCTCCCCACATAATAACAGGTTGCTCAACAGTATTCATTTATAAAAATACTATATAAAGTAACTATAGATTCAACAATGGTACTTGTGCCTGGCAATATAAACCCATGAGAGAGTTATGTGTCGGGTGGCATACGCATCAAAGATAAGCAAAGTTTGATATTCGTTCAAAAAGCTGTTATGTGTTGACCGGGCGTGACTATGTTTTACCATAATTCCGAATAATCAATCTTTCTTATTCTTTCTACTCTCTCTGTTTGACTCCAGTCTCCCTCTTTCTTTTTCATCCTTCCACCTCTTTCCCCACACATACCCCCTTGACCAGTCATTTCTCCTTACATTGTACCACACCTTCGAGTTGTAGCCTATCGCTCAGGATGGAGCAAGATCAAGACAAACAAATAATCCTCCGGCTTCTTCTAGAAGACCTGAATGATCTCGAGAACAGCCAGAAAGGAAAACAGGCGGCAGGAAAGGAGTCGGACCTTGAAATTGCCATCGCGTGCTTGAGACAGGATATTCGAATCGCCCAGATTTCCATCGAGGACGAGATATTGGCGGTTAGCACGAGTACCGCAATTGTCACTGATCAAAAAATACTGGCATCTCTCCAACATCAGGAAAGAGTTGCCAATCAGGACCGCCAATTCGCCCTCTCTCTGAACAATGGAACCCGGACCTCCAATCACATTTCAAACCTCTCGATGATACCCGAGATCACATCGCCAGACGACGATGACGACGCTGTTTCCATTGTCATGGGGGATCTCATGAGCCGGATGACTCTGAGTGACAAAGCATCTAATAACGGAGAAGGTCCCTCGCGCATACATTCACCGCGAACAAGCAACTTAATGCGAGAGTGCGTGTCCTGCTTTACAAAAGTCAATAATATTATGTTCAAGGGTTCGTGCGGCCACGAGTTTTGCCGCGACTGCACGAGACAGATGTTCCTTGGTGCCATCAAAGACGAGGAGTTGTACCCGCCTCGTTGTTGCGGAAATGTCATTCCACCTGGAGTTGCCTTGAGAATCCTTAGCTATGACGAGCTTCGACGCTTCGCCGAAAGAGCCCTCGAATGGACCGCGAAAGATCGTCTCTACTGCGCTGAGCCAACATGCTCAAAGTTCATTCCTCCGTTTGCCATTCAAGACGAGCACGGCACTTGCCCCGAATGTCACCGGCAGACTCATGTACCATGTCGCTCCCTCGCCCATCCTCGTGTCGACTGCCCAATGGACGAACCTCTTCATGCTGTACTTGAAATGGCCGATGCGGCGAAATGGAAGCGATGCTTCAACTGCCGGACTATGGTAGAGCTCCGCCACGGTTGCAATCATATGACCTGTCGGTAAGCAAGCAATGTCTCTCACAACAACAACATACATATTATACTACATGAATAAAGACTAATGATTGGCAGCTGCGGACGCGAATTTTGCTATGTGTGTGGTTTGGTTTGGAAAACATGTGAGTGCCCGCTCTGGCACGAGAATAGGCTCGAGGAAATGGCCATCCAAGCGGTAGATGAGGAGGTGCCGGCCAATGCCAATATCCATGTCCGCCAAAATGCATTCAACCAGATAGTCTATGACCTGCAACAACACGAGAACAACGGATGCGAGCATCACAGGAACTCGCAATGGGTTTGGCGTAACACTGGAAGTTTGCAGTGTGAGGTCGGGAACCATCACCTACCTGAGTACATTTTCATGTGCAAGGGTTGTCGGATGCGGGCCTGCAACCATTGCCGAAGACACAGATTGAGATAGTTCTCTGCCCTTGATTCTTGCTTGCAAGCCTGTTCCGCTGCAGGAAGAGGCTGAGTAGACAACCGAAGGACAGCTGGAAGACATGGGTTTGGTGACGGGGTTTCGGTTTTATTCATTCATACAAAGTCCGCGTAGTCCCAGTCGAAGGGCGAGTCTCATTTTTTGGATTCCTCTTCGGGTCTTGGGGCTCATCTAGCAAATCATGGACCTGGTGTTACTTTGACCAAAGATATTCTGCTCGCAGTTTGGGCGCAATTGTTTTCGAAACTCAAAAGAAAAAAAGAGAAAAAGAAAGAAAAAGAAAGAAAAAGAAAGACAAAGACAAAGACAAAGAAAACCACATTTTTGCTTCACTCGACCAGCGGAGATGATATTGACATAAAGATTGTGTACAGCACTTTTTGCAGTTTCCAATAAATTATCTTGTCAGTTTATGAGTGTATCACTGTAGAACCAAGTAAAGAGGGTCCAGCCACAGATATGCTGTCGAATTCACGAAGATCGATAGATTTCAAATGGTCATGGTAATGTGCACTAGCACTCATAGTTATCATCCAACGATCCTCGGCAACTTTCTGTTATGTTGTCTTGTTTTAGTCGGCAGAGACTACCGTATGGCTAAGCTCGGCTGGGCATGGTGCCTTACTGCCTGAGGCACCAATTGCCCTGGATTTAAACATCACGTGCCAGAGCGGGCTCTGGAGGGCTTATCTCCGTGCTGACAAACCCTATCCCCGTGGAACCAGTTCGAATTCGCCCGCGCCTGCCTATTTGGGTCATATAAGTGGTTTTTTCTTGTCGCGAGTTCATTTCCCACGCGCTCTTTCTCTGCAATCGCCTATCTAAAGACGTTATAATGGACTCCCTAAAGGAGCTAACCGTCCACCACCACGGGACCCCGCATATAATTCAAGTCTCCGCCTCAGCGACCCTACAAGACCTCACCTCCGAGATAGAGCGCATCCTAAACATCCCCATCGACAACCAAAAGCTCCTCATAGCCCCAAAGCCAGGGATGCAGAAAGCACCTTTTCCACCAACTCTCCTCTCCGCAATTCTCCAAACCTCCTCCCCCAAATTCAAGATCACCCTCCTCGGCACCCCCGCCAAAGCAATCGCCGATCTGCACGAACAATCCGCCAGCGAACAGCGACGACAAGAATCACGAGCTGCCGCCCTAAGCGCCGCAAGACGCAACAAACAAACACCGTCTTCCAGCCGTAGCGGCGGCATCCACACCATCTCATCCTCAGCCAACAACTACACCTTCCACCGTCTCCTCCCACTATCCTACCTCCCCAACCCAGACCGCTCTCTCGACTTCCTGAAACGCCTGCGAGATGACCCAGGTATCCGCGCCGCCATGACAAAACACAAGTTCTCCGTACCGCTCTTGACGGAAATGAACCCAGCGGAACACACGACGAGCGAGTCGCGGACGCTAGGTCTGAACCGGAATAAAGGCGAGGTGATTGAGTTGCGTTTGCGAACGGATGCCTATGACGGATACCGTGATTACCGTACCATTCGGAAGACGCTGTGTCATGAGCTTGCGCATTGCGTGTTCGGGCCTCATGACCGCGACTTCTGGGATTTGACGTCGCAGATCGAGAAGGAGGTTGAGCGTGCTGATTGGAAGTCTGGTGGGAATCAGTTGTCTAGTCAGGAGTTTTATAATCCTGGTGATTGGGATAACGTTCAGGGCGGGGAGGAGTTTGATGAGTGTGGATGGACCGGTGGGGAGTTTGTTCTCGGTGGATTGCAAGGTGACTCGACTGGAGGTCGTGGTGGAAATGGTGCCTCTGGTGGGACGCTTTCTCGCAGGGAAATCATGGCGCGGGCTGCGGAGGAGAGGATGAAGAGGGAGAGTCAGGCCGGGAAGCAAGATGATGCTAAGTGATATCATTCCTGCCTGATCATTTGGTGCACTATCCTTTTCATGATTTATGAGTTCTTCTTGCTTTTGGCTTATATAGCCTTTGATACCATACTATTCGTTTGTAATTAACGCATTTTTGTACATTGCAGATATATAGTTATTGTCATCTAATTAGACTATTTCGGGATATTTACAACTGCTCGTTGACAAAGAGACCAGCCATACCCTGTCCAGTTCCAATACACATGGAAGTGACCAAAACCTTACTCTTTGTCCGGCGAGCCTCGCTCAGAATGGTCGCGATTTGACGCGCACCTGTTGCGCCGAGCGGGTGACCAATGGCAATAGCACCGCCACGAGGGTTGACCTTGGCGTAGTCAAGGCCAAGGTTATTAACACAGTAGACCGCCATGGAGGCGAAAGCCTCGTTGATCTCGTAGATATCGATATCATTCTTATCAAGCTGGAACTTGCTCAGCAGCTTGGGGATAGCGGCAGTTGGGCCGATACCCATAACGCGAGGGGGAACACCGGCAACGGTAGCGCCACAGAACTTGGCAAGGATAGGCTGGTTCAGCTCAATAGCCTTGGAGCGACGCATGAGCAGAACAGAAGCGGCACCATCGGTAACCTGACTGGAGTTTCCACCAGTGGACTTATCACCGAACTGCGGGAACGCAGGGCGAATCTTGGAAAGCGACTCGAAAGTCGTACCGGGACGAATACCATCATCGCGGGACAGAGTCACCTGCTTAACCTCGCCAGTCTTGGGGTCCTTAACCTTGACAGCGATAGGAGCAATCTCGTCATCGAGCCAGCCATTCTTCTGGGCAGCCTCAGCACGACGGAACGACTCAGCAGCATATCGGTCCTGCTGCTCGCGGGGGATATCGAAGTCCTTGCCGATGTTCTCGGAAGTCTGACCCATGGGCTGCATGCAGTCGGCGGCTTCCTGGTTGCGCAGGACCTCCTCGTTAAATGGCTGCTCCAGTCGGTCGCCAGCAGCGGACATCAGCTCCGCACCCATAGCGACACCGATGTCGATGGCACCTAGCTGGATCTGGTTCGCGATATCCTGTACGGCCTTCAGTCCGGATGAGCAGAAGCGGTTCACTGTTGAGGCACCGGCGGTGTGGGGGATGCCGGCGGCAAGAGCTGCGGCGCGGACCATGTAGGCGGCTTTGACTTCGTTGACCTGTCTTTATGGTTAGAATATGCCATCTATGGATTTGTAGAGTAGAGGAAAGAGATTAAACATACGTTTCCGAGGCAGACATCCTCGATCAGAGCAGGGTCAATCTGTGACTTGGCCAAAGTCTCCTTCAACAGGGCGTAGAGCAGGTAGTCCAATTCTGTGTCCTTGAACCCGCCCTTACGGGCCTTGGTCAGGGGTGTGCGAATTGCTAGGGTGATGACCACATCATCGGGGTTCTTTTGTGTGCTACGTTTGCTTGTTAAATTTATAAACCACAACTAGGCTCCTTTGAGGACTTACATAGCAGCAAGGCCGTTGGTGGCGCCGGGCTTGAGGTGGCTCAGGAGCGAGCTTAAACGATCTGCGGCCATGATGTATGAAGGTAGATAGACTGCATAGATTATCTAGTCAGTTTTCTGCTCTTCTTCGCTTCTGCAGCTTATCTTTGTTCAAGATGCCGACTATTGGCATGGAAGTTTTCGGTGTTAATGCGGGGAAGCTTGTGCGGAGATTTGGGCGAGGAAAGTGAAAACAAATAAATCAAGCACTAGGAACAGAACGACTTACAAATTATACAGAAGTAGGATAGAGAGAAGGAATAAAATAAGCAAAAAAGGAAGAGGAGGTGAGGAGTTAATAAAAGAAGTATGGCGAGAAGAGAAGATCTCCGCTTCGACCGAAACTGCCGAGGTTCATTTCGCCTATCAGGTTATCCGGTCAGTAAGTACCAGGTACTTCTAATTTAGATTATAATCCCTCATTGTAGAAAGTATCCAGTACCTCGACCAGGCTATTTCTAGTTCTATGGGCTTGGTCTTTCGAGATGCCTAGGTAACTGTCGGGTTGTCAAGTGTCAATCGCGTTGAATCTTGGAATAAATCATTCATTTCCTATTGTAACGATAGGACTACCTCATTGTTATGAGAATAAGTCTCACACTCCTTATCGAAGTATCCAAATGCACGATATTCGTGGCAGACACATGTAGGCCTTCCAATAACTACCGTGCGAAAATCTGATAGCCATCAGGTTCGGAGCTAAAGGGCTTACCTTCCAACTCCTTTATTTACCCATCGCTGCATAATGCAACTTATATACAACATAAATGTAGAGATGTTCGGTCGAGGCGTCGTCGCTCAAGTCAATTATAATCGGTTCTACCGATGTGCCAATGGTATCTGTACACACGCTAGAGCGATATCTCAACGATTATGCTCAAATGATAAATTAATGCGTTGTTATATAGAAGAATAAGAACTAGCTTCTTAAGTACCACTAATATGTACCCACCGTTATCTCCGTACGCATCCAATCCTCAAATCTTCCCTCGTGGGCTTTAGGGTCAGTGTCTTCCCAGTTGTAAGAACCAGTGTGATAATTCAAAATCTCGAAATACCTTCAAACGATAAGCCTGAATGAATACGCCGCAGACTGGGAAAATACTTACATTTTAGTCTTCCATTGATCCGTTGTCATTTCTGAATCTAATAAAGACCAGTCAATTTGTTTCTCACACTCGGGTTCGTCGTTTAAGTCCGAATAGGTTGAAAGGTATAGATGGGGTATGGCATCCGCCGCTGTGATTCTCTTCTGTGGGTCTATATCAAGCATTTTCTCCAAGAGATCAACGGCTAGCAAAGTCAGTATCATTGGAGGTAGATATATCCGGAGGAACTTGGTATTAATGAAGATTTTGACGGGCATACCTTTAGAGTCTACATCACCCAGGGTAGCTCTAAGCGACTGGGGTTCGGCTTCAGGTAGCGAGTTCACAAACTTCATCGTCTATAACTTGTAGTCAGCATCTTCTCTCCCATAACTAACTCAACCGTGTAGAATTTAGCCATACAACGTCGCTGTACACTGTCTCCATAAACTCTTTGGGTGGTTTCCCAAACATCTCAGTCATCAGTTTGAAATGATGCACATTGTCTGTTCCCGGTAAGAGGACTTTCCCTAGGAGCATCTCTGCCAGAATGCAACCAGTACTCCAGATATCCACTGCATAGCTGTATCTTTGCCAAGTCAACATTATTTCTGGAGCTCGGTAATATCGTGTGGAGACATAGCCAGTCATCTGATGATCTTGTTCTCGAGCTAGACCAAAGTCACAAATCTTCAAGTCGCAGTTTTCTTTGATCAGAACGTTGCTAGGTTTAAGATCACGATGGATAACACCAGCAGAGTGGATGAATTTTAATCCTCGCTAGAAAAGTCAGCCACACTGGCATTTTTAAGGCCACTCGGGCAGACATACCAGCAGTTGGTAGGTAAAGAACTGGATGAACTTGTTATCCAGTGGCTTCGATCTTGATTGGATCAATTCATGAAGGTCTGTCATGCAACAGTCCATCACAAGATAACTGTATTCCCAAACGTTTAGTATAATTGAATCCGAAAATAAAAGAAGTGATTCACGTACAGATCTTCCGCTGGTGAGATGAAGATATCTGTGATGCTGATTAACTGTAGGCTGTTAGTGTCATACTTCCTCTTCTTTTTTTTTTTTCAGCACATGCATTATCATGTTTGAGATGGTTCATCAAATGAACCTCGCGATACGTGCGCTTGACCCGGGCAGAACTATCAAAAGGATTCCCTATCTTCTTTATGGCAACCGTTCGGTTGGCCTTTGAATCATGTGCTGAGCTGATCCTGACTGTTAGTGGCCTCACAGTACGAAGAGAATATACATGAGGGGATATACCAGATCACTCCAAAGGCACCCACACCTCGTGCTTGCAAGTCTGTATACCTCTCGGTAGTTTGAAGAGCAGTGCCCATGATCTTATGCGTGACGAATGTAGCCATGATTCCAAGGGCGCATATGTTGAAGAAGGGATGAATTGGCAGAATAGTAGGAGGATATTGGATCCTCGATATACCTAACTACCTAGGTAGGTACTATAATTAGGTGTCTTCCAAGGTTCCAAGGTTGTTCTTCCCAGGCCTGGGCCATGTTGTGGTTACGTCATACCCATGGATATGCTTATGTGATTGGCCATTGGGTCACCTGGGCATTTTTATATCTCCGCATTGAGCGGCTTGGCCTTATCAGCCAATCCTTCTCCACAGTAGGTTGAACCAGTCAAGGTACATATATACAAGTAGTGGACGTCACTTAGCTTGATTCATATCAATGCAAGCGCTGTTTCGTGATTGCTCAATCACGTCCCAGGTGATTGAATGTGAGAGGCAAAGTCCAATCTTCGCCTTGGAACTTCCATTTTTAACATGGTTGGTGCAAATTGACAATACCATTCGCATATAAAGCATTGTCGAAGGGTTACATTGCCGCGGTCTTTCGAGAAGTATTGCAAGTAATGAAACCTTTGGTCTTGGTATTTCAATTAGATTATATCATAATACCATTGTACCCGTGGACCTTATATCGCAGCCAAGCTCAAACCTAAAAACCAACACCATAACAGAAAGTTTCCCGAGCCAGTAAAGTCCACCCATTCATCCATACCATGATGTTCTGAGTGGATCAGAGCAACTGATGATGTCCAGCATCCTCGTTGCTAACTACACTACCCACATCAGACCATGCTGGAGTAGCCAGGCCACCAACAGATTGCCCATCAAAGTCACTAAGAGTGCCATCTGACGTTCCATCCTCGAATCCTCCGACATGGCTGAAGCTTCCGGTAGTAGAAGGGGCGGCCGAAATATCATTATGAGACTGGACACTCTCACGGCCAAAACCATCTAGCTCAGCAAGGTGATCGCGTTCATAGGTATCGTTGCTTGGCGCATCAGGGTGCGCATAATATACCTGCTGGTGGTCTTCTGTGTGGCTGGAGCCAGATACAGATAAGGGAGAGTTGGGAGAAAATGGATCAAACAGGGTATTCCCCTCGGGTGCTTCAGACCGAGGCGTGAACTGAACAATAGATTCCGAAGGGTGGTTCGAGGGAGCATACGAGGGGATGTCGACATGCAGCTGATTCCGACCCAGCGTAGTCGAAGACTCCGCCTCGATTTGCTTGGCGCCTCGTCGTAGAGGCTCTGAAGTGCCCAGGTCAATTCCGGTTGAGTTAGAAGTAAATCTGTCGCTATTTTGAATATCGTATTCGTTGTCTTTTTGTTTACGCAGGTTGCCCTCCTCGTCGACAAGAGTATCAAAGCTATCATGAGGCTGGCCGGGCTGGCTGGTCTTTCGTTGTGATTCAAGGAGCGTTCCTCGTCGCATAATCTCCTCACGAGCAATCCGTCTGCGTTCTTCGGCAATTTCGCCAGTCTCCTCGGTCATAGAAATGTCCCGCCTCACCGCTATGTCTTGAGGTTGGATCTCATCGCCGAGGTTGTGTAGTGCTACGGCGATCTTGCGCCGCGAGGTGGTCACCCATTGTTGAAACTGCGGCGACTCATACACGGCAATCCCGGCTGCTACAAGCACAGAAACAGTAATGATGATTCCTGCATGAGAGGTCAGCCTCATCCTCAACATAGTGGGGAACTGATAAGACCGACTACACCGCCCGGATGATCCGGGAAGAATGTAGAGGTTCAAGGGAAATTAGAAGACCATACCTTTTGCAAGTGGTGCTGGCATGATGAACCTGGATATTGTACTTGTGTCTTTCCTTTCAAATGGTTTCAATACTTACCTTCGTCATCCATGGAGGAGACAAGATGATTCAGTGATGCCTGCACCTTATCCTTACATCGACGCATGTGACCTGCCAAGCCCTTATCACCGGCCCTAAATACACACCGCTTTAGGCAAAGTTCCCCGCGCGTCAAAGGACGTGATTGCAAGCTCACTTCTTTAGACTCGATTGTACAATTGAACTTGAGTGATACATCATGTCTCGCCAACCTTCGCAGGCCCAGCGGCCATTGTCCCTTACCGAGGAGCTTGAGAAATTGGAGCAGTCCATCACCCTTACAATGCAAGGTAAGATCAAAAAAGTAAACAAAACAGTCCAGCAGACCGCTCATCGTCATATGTCCATACAGAGATCGACCACAATTTCAGCCAAGCTCATCGTATAGTAACTACGAGTATATTGCCTCTAGTAGAGCAATATACCGAGCATTCCCGAGATGTCTGGGAAGGTTCCAAGGTCAGCACCACCAGCATATACAGCCATAAACAGCCTTGTTAACTCCCTATAGTTCTGGAAGCAATTCTTCGAAGCGAGTGCCAACGTGTCTCTATCTGGCTATGAAGAAAAAAACACCGATGAAGAAACGATGCAAGACCCAACAGCCACGGAGGAAGAGTTGTCCGCCGACATAACCCAAAGCACCGGTCTCGACGATACCATATCCCACGAGACGCCCTCTTCCCAGCGTCATGAAACACCCCATCGCGACCAGGCAGACGACCTTGATCTAACAGATCTCGCAATCTCTTCCCACAGCACTCCGCGTGCTCCGGGCCACCATCACCAGCAGGTCGACGAAGACATGACAACCTCCTCAATGGAGTACTCCTCCTCATATGAGAACCTTAGAAGACAAGTCAACGAATCCGACCCGCCATTCGACCTCCCAGACTCCTCGACCCTCCCATCCACACCAGGCCGCCAGCTCTTCTTCCCACGTGGCGTCTCTGCCACAACCCCGATGTCCTCACCATTCCTCCCGCCCGCATCGCAACCATCCACCCAAGACCGTCGATACCAGAAGACTTCAGACCCGGTACTGCACCAAATGCTCGACAAGACATACCGGGTGCAAGCCACGCCGCTCGGAAAGGGATTCCGCGACGTGGGCGGCGGTACGAACACTCGACCAAAATTCAACATGACCCCAAAGCCGACCGAGTCTACCTCCAAGTATGGATATGACGACTCGCCGATTTCCAGTCCAGAACCAGAGGCACCACAGCTCCACGCGGAGATTTTCTCATCGCCCATCAAAGGCGTCAACGACACCCCAGGTACGAACCGCAAACGACGGACTAGCAGCAATCGCATGCGCGGTATTCCCAGGCCTGGCATGAGTGTTTTGACACCTGCTAAAAAGCCTGCGGGTAAATCGGCTATGTGGGATAGCGATGATGATCTGGATTACGACGATGATGAGGATCTTGGGCCGAGTCCTCCTAAGACAATGCAGTTCCACATTCCGCAAAGCCGGCTGATGAGGACGCCTGGTAAGACTTGTTCCCCGGTTTTCATTTTAATACTACATTCATGCTAACTTACTTCGCCTTAATAGCAAGGGAGGCTTCTAAGCGCATTGTGACCGATTTGCTGGCTACGGCTGGAGCTGGGGACATTACAGATGACTTTGGCGACGACCAAAGTCCAAGTGTGATCCGTCGCATGGAGCGCCTGGAAGATGAAACCTTCTAAGTCGGCAATCCAAAAAGGGATCAGGCTAACGACCGGTTATTATCGGTTGGCGTTTCCTTTTCATGTGCATTACGTACTGGATTGCCCATATCAACATACAACCTCAAATACCCACGAATACTACTATGGCATCATCATCAAATGCCAATATTTCGATAGATTCATTTCCATTAAGGAGGGGAGAAAGGGAGATAAGAGATGGCACAACCTATAGTATTATCGTACACGTAGACACAGTAAACAAATGTCACTTTTGGGGACACAGAACCCTTGAGACATGGACAGGAAGAAAAACGCTTAAGGAATCGTAGGATATGTATGGGCGATGAAGGCCAAGCAAGCAATGTCACCACCCTGTCCCATATATCATAGTTACCCAACAGAGAGTTCGGGCTCTCGAAAGGAGATAGAAAGAAAGTGGGCAGCGATGTCTCTGCAATGGACCTCCATCAGTGGCGGTTGCGGGGGGTGAACAAGAACGAAGAGAGTTATATCTAGGAGCTCTTCTTCTTGTTCTTGGACTCAGTGTCCTTCTTCTCTGTCTTGGAGTCATCACCACTCTCCTCGGACTTCTCCTCCTTCCCTTCGGCACCAGCAGCCTGCTGCTCCTCTTGGCTATCATAGAGAGACTGGTGCTTAGAGCTCAAGCGCTCCTCCTCAGCAGCAACCATATCCTTCCAGAGATCGCCCTGATTAGGCGAACCACCCTGGTGAACAGGCTGTTCCTCCTCAACCGGCTCAACCTTATTCTTAGCGACATCAGCCTTCTTCTTGGAATCGAGCAAGCCACGACCACGACGCTGATCCGAGATCTCGAAAGCAGCAGAAGCACAAAGCACACCCAGCGTCAGACCCTGTGCATACACACGAGCCTGGACAAGCTTCTGCTGTCCACTAAGACCGGGGATGCGACTGACAAGCGCAAAGGAGCCAACCATCGAGGCAACCCAGGTGGCGGTGATGATCTTGTATTTCTCGCGGCGGGCGAAGGCCGCGGCGCGGTCGGTGAAGCTCAGACCGCGGATCTCCTGGGCGCGGATACGCTCTTCGCGATTCTCGTACCATTTGTATGCTGCGTTTTGCTCGTTCTCGTATTCGCGCGAGGCGTGGTCGGCTGCGATGATACCTGTGAATGTACCCGAGGAGGTCACTAGGAAGGCTTTCATTGGCACGGTTAGGTTGCGGATTGTGTGGTAGCGACGTGATGCAAGGAGGACTCCTGCTACGCCGCCGGCGAGACCTAGGACACCACCGACTGTGCCGCCTTGGAGGACGGATCTATTGGGATTGCGTCAGTATGGGCTGGTTATGGGAATCGGTGGCTGTAGTAGGTATTGCGTACCTGTAGTGAGCATCTTCTTGTTCTTTAGTAAGAATCTTCATTATGTATGATAGTGTATATGTTTAAATTGAATAAAAGAAGCTTGGAAGAGGGTGAAATGTCCGATATAAAACCAAAAAAAGCAAAAGCCGGATTGCATGACGTGGGGATCGCGGGATCTGCTCTTTTTCCGGCGTTGGCCCCCGGTCATCTCTCGGTTTTGCACGGAACTAACTTGCCGGCTTTTGGTGCTTGGGGCTTCTTTTTTTTTGTATACAACAGTTGTATAGATTAACTGAAATATTTTGGAGTTGAATTGCATTTACTTTGATAGTTTCCATATGAATTT